CACTCTCCAGCCACCCCCACCTGAGCGAAGGGTTTGTTACTATAATTAGATTGTTCTCTTCTCTGCCCAGGCCACCTTCCAACCACTCCGCGTGGGTTTCCCCGAGCCTCTTTGCACACGCCCCCGCCAACCTCCCAATCGCCCCAAATACATGTATAATAATTTATTTATGGGTAACGATGTCATCGGTCTAGGCCCACGCCACCTTCCAACCACCCTTCCTTCGCTGCGCCCGGGTACCTCCCGTCTCCCACAGGTTACAAGCAACTAATCATTATCCAGTATGTATTAAGCGCATCAAATTTTGTTTCCCCTCAATAATATCTTGGTCGGTAAAGTACAAATTACACGCACGACTATTCAAACGAGAAATGGAGAAGGAAGGCGAAGTGGAAGAAAAAGAAGTAGTATATGAAGAGAAAGAACAAACCCATCTCTGTATCACCCATTCCAATATATGGCCATTGGAGCTTTACGACGTACATGGGTCAAAATTAAAATGATACTGAACATTTGACACAATCACAGGCTTACCCACAGTTCTTTAGTTTACAATATAATACTCTTTATTACCTCCACACATGGTGCATGTAATTTGAATCTAGGATTAAAATAATATGTTTGTAGATATCACAAGTATTTTTATTATATATAACACTATAATGCCTGTAAACTGTACTGATCGTAAATTATCAAAAGTCAGGAGAGTCATTTTGTAGATAACAAAGTTTTTCTTATCACATCCACACATTGACAACATTTATAGTATAATACCTAGAGTCATAATTATCCATTTGAAGATAATGCCGTTTTTTATTATGTTCACACCCCAGTAAATTGACTATAAATTATATATCTAAGGCATAGCGAACTCCGCTATGATCTAGGGTTATACCAATATTTTTGTGGAGAATATTACATTTCTCATTCAAACATTTGAAATGTCCATTAACTATTTACGCAGAGGCCACTACCCGTCCGCAGCGGCTTTTAGTTGCGAGACGCTCATACGTCATAGGTCATACCCATGATGGCGCGCCAAAACGCACCTGGACACGTGACCAACGGGGACTATAAATTGTCCGGTGCTCATGACACGGGTGCCCTGCACTCCACTACACCCCAAACATCACCGTCCAGATGAAGAAAGAAAAAAGAAGAAAAATCGACGATGACGATCCGAACACAATGAAGACGGTGAGGTGCAGAGGTCGTCCCGAAGACATGAAACATCCCGAGAGAACACCATCAAAATCGTGAGTACTAAATGACAATTGTTGACTACACATTAATGATGTATTGTTGAACATGTTTTATGAGCCTATATATATTCACATAATACTACTATGCGTAACTAATACTTATGCCCTTGATTGACTTTGCCCATACAATGAATGATTTCAAGTTGTATAAATGTCCACAGTAATAGTAATACGTGCATTGTATTCTGAGTATTCTTCATGGACCTTCTCATTTGAACAAAGACGTCTTTTCGTTTAGAAAAATACACTCCACAACATTTCTTTGTTCTAAATTAAATACCTATCCTATAACTAAAAGTATCTATCTACTTCGCAGTAACATCTTCTATCCTATCTTTGTCTACCTCCTCACAATTAATTTGTACCTTCCTTTATAATAGCTTCTCTACCCAAGTACTTTAAATGTAGGCTACCTACCTTACAATCCCACTGTCAATAATTTTATAATTTTTAGAGTTATAACTGCATTATGTGTGTAATGCATGTACGTGCCCATATTCCTCACTATCCACGTATCTTTTCGACCAACCTATTCATCTGTCTACATCTTTTTAAAGCATAAAGAATCGGCTAAGTAGGAGGGTTTTTTTAAGAACAACTCAATAATAAAACTAGAACACATTAGTTAGTCGCCATTCTAAGATTCTCCTAGCTGTGATCAGCAACCATCATGTGACCCGGTTCACTTAATTTACCTCACAAAGAGTGCAAAGCTCATCAGTGATCTCGTTTTGCTTAGTCAGCGCTGCGCTATTTAACTTAGCAATTTTTTGTTCATTTTGATCTATACTACAACTCCAGAATTTCGGTTTTATATTCATAGCAAATATTAGTTTTCTGTATATGAGGCATTCATTTAGAACGATATACACTAGGTTTAATTGTGTTGAATAAATATGTCCCGCGTTTAAAAAAAAAAATCGCGTGCGCCCCTCCCCTCCCCCCTTTTTTTTCAAATGAGGTACAGCGAGCACCTAGCACACCTGTGATTGGTCCAAATATAGATGACGTATTTTCGCCATTTATTTCTGTCGTCTTCCGGGGTTTCCCCCAAGACTCTTGGGTTTCCCTCGCCAGTAACTGATTGTTGACTAGATGTCGCCGAGTTTGTTTTTGTATTAATTTGCTGTGTTATTTATAAACAATCCCAGCAATTCTCGTTCCATAAATTTACCTTCTCAAAGTACACACACACGCACATACACACACATACACACACATACATACACATACACACACATACACACACACACACACACACACACACACACACA